GGCTTGCTGCCTGTTAGCGCATCTGACCCTGACCTGCAGAAAGGCTGTTACACTTCCACTGATGAGGCGTAGAAAGAGGAGAGAAAATTGCATCACATCACCATAATCAGCTTTTGATTTTGTCCTTTACAGCAATTTCATACCAGCTCTCCCCTACACCTGCAGCAAATTGCCAAAAATCAGCAATGACACAAGCGAACCTGCTTCTGCCATCAGAAACCATCATCCCCCACAGAGCCAGGCACAGCTGAGGGCAGGGAATGGCATGTGGCCTGTGGCACATCGCATCATTCCCAGGAAATTCCTGACCCTCCGGGTGTACCACAAGCTGCCCAGCACCCAGAGGTGGCACACAGAGCACTGAGCCCTCCTGCATCTCTTCTATGTGCAGCCAGGAGCAGCCGGTCCCGGTTTAGTAACACTTGCGTTGTATGGGGCGGTGGTGAGGAATGGGAACACTGGGAAAAGCCAGCACAGGGTGCAAGGCCAGGCTGCCTTCAGCTCCTCACCTTCCTCCAGAGCCCGACAGCATTCCCTTGCTAAGCCCTGCTTGAAACACCAACTGCTGCACCATGAGAACACCGCGTTCACATAAATCACCTCAAACTTAAGAGGTGCCATTAGCTATTAGCAAACACTCCAGGCCTGTGGGTGAAGGTAATTCAATGTGATATGCTTGGGCATGCAAGGTAATAGGTTTCGGCTGAATACCATGTGATACAATCTCCTCAATGGGAGGTTAAATGAGGCTGAGACAGAGACCAGATGGATTTATCTGGGTAGTGCTGCTGAGGTTTTTTTCCTGGTGTGCTTAAGGTGAAGTGAAGGTAGGGAAGGCAGAAATAACCCAAGAGAAAAGCACGAGTGTGGCTGTGTGAGGTTGGGGCAGGGTCAGCAGGAGGCTCAGGACCTCATGCTGCTGGAACACACTAAGCGAGGAGGAGGATGCTCACAAAGCACTGCTGATTTAAACAGACAAATACTTCTGACCTTGACCAACTCCTCCAGTTTCTATCCCGAGCATGACGTGCTTGGTATGGAATATCCCGTGTTGGCTGTCCTGCTCTGCTCCCTCCCAGCTTCCTGTGCATCTCCCCATTGGCATAGCATGGGAAACTAGAAGTCCTTGACCCATTGTACGCACTGCTCAGCAACAACTAAGATATGGGTGTCTTATCAATGTTATTCTCACACTACATCGAAAACCACCCAGCACTGCACCAGCTACCAGGAAGAAAATTAACTCTATCCCAGCCAAACCAGGACAACTCCGTGTGCCTGTGACACACAGTGAACACCACTGCTCCAGCAAGGACCAACAGAAAAATGAGGCTCCCAACGGGAGAGAAAGTTACAACAGGAAGAAATCTCAGCAGTGGGCTGAAGATGGAGATACAGCCAGACCAGACAAGTGCACAACAAACATCCCTCTCCTCTGCGCAGACCTGGGTGCTTCTGGGACACACACCTCCCAGCAACATGAAAGGCAGAAACCGTCTGAGGCTCTGAACAAGCTCATTTCTCCTTTGCAGACAGCTGAGATTCGCAGCCTCATGCTAGCCTCAGGATGCTTTCCTCCCTGGGGAAGCATGAGATGGCTGATGCCATCCCCCTTGCCCACCCGCATGTACCCTCACTTTCAAGAAGATGCGAGCGAGCTGCAGTAGCTGATGGTAACAGCATACAAAGACCAAGCCGTGCTGCTGCTGTCCAGGTCACATCCACCTCAGTGCCAGGCACTGCACAACCAGCTCCCACCCCTACCAGCAGCATCCTGCCCTCCCCAGTACCACCCTTCCCAAGGCAGCACATCAGGGGTGGAAAAGATCCTCCTGCACACTTGTCTGGCCTCCTGTACCTTGCAACCAAAGGCCAACAAGCCTGCACCCCACGACAGGAACCAGGCTCCCTGCCACAGCCAGGAAGTGGAGCTGAGGGCTCAAGTTCCCTGCTGCACTAGAAAAGGTTTAAGAGCTCCTCTGGCCTTTGACCAGCACTACCTAGAACACAGCACTGGACACAGACACAGCCCAGGCCGCAAGACCACATCTTTTCTTACTAGTTACCATACTGTTACCATACAGATCTTGAACAGCCCAATGACAGGAAAGGGATAGCAGCAAAAGAAGCCTCTGAGACTGACAGGTCCCTCTCCAAGCACTGTAAATGTACCTGAGCATCCAGATCACCACAGTCAGTGAGAAATGATGGGCACAGAAAAGAGATCTACTCAAAGCCACAGTGAAGCACTGCTGAGTGTCTCAGCTGCACTATTCTATCTGCCTTGCTACTGTTGGGGTATCCTACATCTCTGCACACCCACTCTGCTGCTCACTCAACTGACTCACAAGACAAGAGCGTTCTCACACCTCCTCCCAAAACTACGCACCAGAAGAAAAGGGAAATAAATATCTCTCCCACACAAAACCAAGTTTAAAAGCAGAGGCGGGTATAACAAACCCAGTAATGGAGCAGCAGAGCTGCCAGACACAGACACGGAGATGGGTGGTGACAGCACCCACAGCTTTGGGGACAGGTTTCTCATTACTGAGCACACCTGAGTGTTTGCTGCACTCGCAGGCAGAGGCACATTAGCAGTCCTGCCAGGCAGCACCTCCAAAGGGAGGTGACAGCTATATAAACACAGCCATTCCTAAGAGGATAAAGCTGGTTAATGCCCATTTGCTGCACAGGATCCTGGCCTCACCAGCTCACCTGCAGCAAATGGGCTCATGTGCTGGCAGAACAGGCTGGTGTGAGGTGCGGGTGAGCACGGCAGAAGGATGAGCATGAGGCTTGTTCCTGACAGCAAGCTGACAAGACAGGCCGTGGGGAAACTGCTGCAGGGATAGCAGCCGTGGGGCTGCATATAAAGCATGGCCAGAAGCACAGGGAAATACCTACTGCTAAACACTTTTAAAAGGCAACCCCTGATACCATTGCTTGAATTGCTGACTTCACTATCAAGAGATTTTTATAGCCATAATACAAAGGTCCCTGTGCACAGACCCGTCTGGCACAGACATCAGAACAGCCACGAACACTCCGGATGCTGGCAGATTCTCCCACCTCCTAAAGGCTGCAGGTAACAGCATCAGGTGGTGCAAAGTCTGTGCTGACTTCCAGCCCTGCTCTGCAGCCACACACAGCACAAGAATGCTGGGTACACAGCCTGCTACAGAGGAGGGGGAGCACAGCACCAGCAGCAGAGATGGGTACAGAACAGGCTGAACCACAGACTGGGGAGCTGGGATACGGTGGGGAGATCCTGGTTCTTCAGACAAAACTTCCCTGCAAAGCAACTCTCCCTCAAACAGCAGCATCAATGAGAACCATAGAGTTCAATGATCTAACTTGGTAACACCAAAAAACCTCAGGATCAGGAGAGGGAAGGTGAGAGAGTTCAGATCTCCCATCCATTGTGACAATAAGGGAGGGAAAAGTAAGAAGATAAAAGGGAAAAGCAAAGGTAAAACTGCAAAGTTTAAAGCTGCAAGAACAAGAGTTTCAAGTCAAATAAACGAAGTGAAGCGCTTTGATCAGAACAGAGGGCAATGGGTGAGCAGAGGGAAGGAGAAGAAAAGAAAGATCACTTTTCTAAAGATCTGTTTGTGCTCCACTAAAGCTCACAGGCTCTTCCAGCTTGCTGTGATCCGAGGAGCCCTGCTGCTCCCCTGCCTGCGCTCCCACCCAGCTGCTGGGGGAGCAGCCGAGACCCACACTCTTCATCATCTCAGCATAATCCATCCAGGGCTTGGTACTGATGCACTTCTTAACAATACTTATTAATTGCTACTGAACTTGGGTCCATTTAAAAGTCATTGAATGATGTCAGTAAAGCCCATGGTAAGCACAGCCCTGACTCCCAGCACTTGTGAGGACCTTGGAAAGGAGAGGATGCCCCTGCCCACCCTACCGGGTGATGCTGCACACAGCTCCCTGCTTTGGCAGGCTTTGATCCACGCCCTGGGGATGGTGGAGATCAGAAACAGAAGCAAGCACAACTCACAACAGATGTGCCCATTACTTCAACTTCATCTCCTCATTTCGAGCTGCACCTCAGCACCCTCATCAGGCACTAACAGCATAAAGCCCAGGCAGGACCCACAATCCAATTCCTCCTCTTTGACAATGAGCAACAGCAATTGTTATGAAAAGGAACCTCTTTACTCTACAACATCCCTGCCACCCCTTCCCTCGCCACCCTGCATGGCCATTACTCATGGGGATTCTCCAAGGAAGCCCATGGGGCTCCATCTGGTAGGGCTGGACGTGACTGAGTTGCAATTTACTGTCCCTTTGAGTGCATGTTTCTGCTCTGTGAAGCTGAAGCGGGGCTGAGAGGAGAGAGGCTGGCAGGCTGGAGGGCCAGCACCCACCTGAGAACACCACAGAGATCAATCCTCCAGCCACCAACACAGAAAAGCTCAAACTGATGCATGGACTAGGCCAAGTCTGATGCAAGGCAACACCTCGGACAGACGGTGCAGGACAGATTCACCTTCAAAAAGGAAACACTGTACAACAGAAACAGTTGTACAGCAACACAGGGAGCTGAACTAATGGATTTGGACAAGTTGACCATACCAGTTTATTAGGCAAGCTGAGAAGCAAAACTGCGGAATCAGGAGGAAACACAGCAAAGCACGATCAAAAGAAAACAAATCAGAGGGAACGGGGTAATATTTAGCAGCAGGTTGCCACTGTCCATCAGACAGAGATCTGAATGAGGTCAGACACAGCAGTGGCTAGAAACAAGAAGCTGTGCTGGTGACTATGAACATCATTCATGCCATGGTAAGCAAGCGCAGAGTTGATGCACCAGTTAGGGCTCAACCAGCAGCTAATCCTGCAGAGCTCTTCCTACAACCCTAGCACAGCCCTCCAGGGCTCCCACACCCAGCATTGCAGAAGCAATGCCCTTGTGACCCCCCAGAATCACCACAGAGGTTCCAGCCCCTTCCAAATTGGGCACCCAGAGCATGAGGATTTGCACCTACCCTGTGCAGTGAACTGAAGGAGACTCAGCCAGCAGGAGAACTAAATCCTTCTTCATCATGAGGAGTTTCCAAGCAGGCTTTGACCTCCCAGCAGTGAGCTGAACACAAGACTGAGGCAACCAGAGGGGCAAAGCAAGAAAATGAGGATCACCTGCAGAGCACAGGGGTGGGAGCTGCAGCTGAAAGGACCAATGCAGAAGCAGGTGGACTTCGGTCTCTCACCTGAGCATAATCTGTGCAATTAGCTGAGGCCCTCCCTTTCCAGCTGTGTTTTAAATGAAAAGAAAGCAGCTACAAGTATGTGGCAAGTGAAGTGATCTGCTTGTGCACATTAAATATTCCCAAGATACGTAGCTGTATTAGGGAGAGTTGGGCAGAGGGCAGTTAAATGTCAAGAGCCCAGTCCAGATGAGGCAGAAGATAAATTTCAGCTGTTTTAGCCTACAACAACCTTATGCAGAGAAAGAAAAACCAAACAAGGAATCACCCAGTGAGTCCGAGCACACTTAGGCTGGATACAAGCCTGCAGGGAAGGGGGGTGTCTGGATTGCAATTCTGCACTCACTTGCCTCAAATCTTCCTTAGATGATGAAGTGTTTTACTCTGAATTATACCCAGAGGAATACCAGGTCCAGTGTGTCTGATAACGAGAAAGACTGCACAGGTGTGCACTGTCCATATCATATGTCTTGAATAGCATAGTGAGTGCTGCTGTATTCTCTGCAAAGAATATATAGAAAAGTACTATTAAAAACCAACACCTACTACCTTCCATGTATTGTTTCTTTAGCTAAAAAGGTACCTCACAACTAATAGATTATAGTGTTATAGCCTATAGATTATAGCCTTCCTGTTCTGAATAAAGTGGTCATTTTTCTGGTGTGTGTGTGCAGACTGGTGACTTAAAGGCTATGCAAAATTACTTTGGATGTTAAATCATAATCAGAAGAAATTGCATTAGATGGGAGGGAAGAGAAATGTGACTTTGTCATTAAGTCTCTAAAGTACACTCCTGTTTTATCTCCCCCCCTCCCCTGAGAATAATATGGCATTCAGCTTTCCAATTATGTACGTACATGAACACTGGATTACTAGAGACAGATAAATGAATATTTTGACTACTCTACAAGGGATACTTTGTATTTGAAGGGGGAGATAAATAGGGGAAACTGCAACCAGCCTGTATATGCAGCAGGCTGTAAAAATCTGTTAGATCCAGAGAATAAAGATCTCCAAACCAGAGAGAGATCTTATTAGTGTTCATTATATACAATAATTAATTTATTCCACTGAGATAAGGGTAATTTATACAATAGCAAAACCTGGGTATTTTAGGCCATAGATCATACTAGAGAAAGCTGTAAGGAAAGGCATTCGCAGTTGTAGCATTTCAAATCCAACTCTTCTGCAACTCTCTCTTTACAGGACATCAATCACAGGATGAGAGAAACTGTAAGCTATTTTCTAGTAACACACTGCCAATCGCAAGACAAATGTCAGATGTCCCCAAGTAAGAAGTAACCATTTTTCAACTTGTGAATGTCTTCAAATATATTACAATGAAAGTGTGAAAAAAATGGCCCTTTCAGCTTCATTTGTTCTGACAGATGCCAGACCTTAGAGTTTGGCATTTTATCTTCATAGTGCAATAATCTTTACGAAACTTAAACCAGGCTGAGGGCAGTGGCATTAGGCTGCAATTGGCCTCTTATGCACAATATATAAAATGTGAAGCTGTCTAGCCACTGAACTGAGAAAGATCATCTACTGCTGCTTTCACTGGTGTTACAGCAAAGACAGAGAAGAAGGGATGCCCACATGTGGTATTAGCACAAGCTAGGTATTACTTTCTTGTGGGCTCAGCTTGCCTTCTGCATTGGAGTGCCATGCTGCTTAATAGAAAAAACAAGAAAGAAACTCTACACTTCTCCTGAAGTAACAACTCACTCGATACGGTGTGTGCATTTAGTCCATGGCATTAAGTGGGTGGGCTTCCTCACACTGGCAGTGTGCTTCCTGCAACGTCACTCCTCTGACACAGCAGCCATCGGCACACTGTGACCTCGAGCTCAGGTAACTTTCTCCAATCCAAAGCTAAATGCCTGTGCTGTTTGTGATTCCTGACAGCATGAGGGACACTGGAACATAAGCAGACTCATTAACATTAAAGAATAAAGGAGGAAAATCAAACTCAGATATAGACATACATTCTTGTAATAAAATACGAGACTGAAAAGGATTTGACTGAAGTTCCAAGTTATTCCTGTCCTTCTAGCCAGTGTAACACTGTGCTCAGCCTCCTCCCAAAAGAGTGTGATTATCGGTGTCATGGCTCCCTCCTTGAAAAATAAAGACTACTTCTGTACAACTGCAGTGGTATAGCCCAGCATTCCTGACAAAATAGCCTGTTAAATAATACAGATCTCATTTTTACAGAACTATACAGTTATTTAAGGGGAAAAAATGAAGAATATGTGCAAAGACAAAAGAAAAATCTGCTCTAGATGTTACTGCAGGTCCAGAGAGGGCAACAAACATGCAAAAGGCAAAGAATCAGCAAACCTAGAATACAATAGCTCAGCCTAAAGTCAGTGACAGGATTGGTTTCAACTGGAATTTAAATGAACTCTTTACACCGTAAAGCTATTTGCAGAAGCAGTGCTTAGTACCTGAAGACAAAACCACGGGCTGATTCACTGAATCTGACTTAATGAAGTACATTTTTCCTCTAAGTGTGAGCTTATCAGTTCTATGGAAGCAAAAGGATAAATATCTTTAGTTTTTCTTTAAAAAATTAACAGTACTTGTCATGGCAGAGACATGTACAAAGAGTAGAAGCCAAAATATCATTTCAGTGTTTTAAGACTGACTTTAGAAAAGAAGTACAAAGTCAATGACCAAATCTGTATTGATTCCAACACGTACAGTCCAAGTGACCGAAAGAAGAGAGTCAAAGCCTGAAGTCTGACCACAAACCTAACTCCAGGTTTCAGTTTCCCAAAGTCTGCAACTGGTATTTGAGACTGCAGCTCCTTACTTGGTTTCCATAATACATCCAGTGCATACAGAGCAGTGTAATTCCTTTGACATAAGGGTACCTCTCAGTCACTGCAACTTCGTGATGCTGGTTATTATCCTGCTGTATTTTGGTCCTTGTCTTCACACGTGGTTTTCTATATACTTGGGATGAAAGCACAGCTTGCCACATGAGGTGTGCTGCAGGTCCAGCAGAGCTGTAAACAAACAGCCATTGCCAGGGTTGTTATTTGAGAATGGGAGCTTGCAGGAGGCTTTTTGAAGAGCATAAATAAGAAAAGCTGAAATAAATAACTATGCCTATCAGCTGAAGGGATTCAGGAGTCGGGGTCTCTCCTCCTGCAGTACATGCACGTACCTGGGGATTAAATCTCAGTTCTGTGCTGGTGAATTAGCACTGTTACTAACGATGATTCCTATAATCTGAAAGTTTACTAGCTGAGGCCGAGCGACCCAGGAGGGATGGATGTGCAGCTGGTGTGAGGTGAGGTCCATCTGCGTGACAAACAGCTCGGCGCTTTTCATCCAGGACAGCGAGCTGATACTCACAGAAATCAATCAGCAGTGTCACTTGCTGGTGGAGTGGGAGGGACTTGTATTTCTTCTGAGCCAGACAGAAGAAAGCTTCCACAAAGGCTTGCAAACACATTCCTGCAAGGAAAAGGTGTTTATAGGAAGGAGATTCATAGCTCACTGCTCCCTAGCAAACTACCTTCTTTAAGCATAACACTGTCTCTTTGTTTCTTTTGGCAGCAAGGCCAAATGTGTATATGCAGGGTTAGTGTTAACGTTTTTCATTTACACAGGGGCCATCCAGAATGCTCACTTAGAAACCATCTGGCCTTCAAAGACCAAAAGGCAAGGTTTTATTTGTACATAACACACAAAAGCTCATTTAGTGTTTCAGTACGGGGTAAGCCCTGGCTGGGTTATAGATAGGTGATAGCCTCAATGATGGAGGATTCCAGGTATCAGACATCAGCCTGTCCAACAGCCTGGCATCGGGAGGCAAACCGATACAGCAACAACTGATTTTAAGATGTTGTGCAGTTAAATGAATATCAGCCTCAATTTCTGCTGCCTCAAATATTAAGTAGAAACCAAGTCAGACACACAGTTACATACTGAGCTTCAAGGAAAACAATCCACCCAAAGAGAAAAATTAAGTTTCTATCGGCAACCGAATTGAGTCATTTAAACCTTGTATTTTGAGACATGGACCTAAACCAAAAGTTCAAATGCAGAACTATTTAAACAGTTTGTTATTTAGTCTGCAGCACTGCAACAATAACTCCATTATCAAGTATCACCTTATTCCAGAAGTGAGTTTATTTGAAGTATTGCTTCCCTTCTGCAGAGCCTGTGGTGGGTATGAATCCTCAGCCCTCCTTTTGCAGGTGAAGAGGCCCTTTTTCAGCCATACCCGTTAATTCTGCACTAGTAATTTTGTTTTAACTGAATGAAAAACAAACAGCTGAAGTGTGTATGAAGGGAAAGTGCGAAAACATTGCTATAATAGAACTCTGCTCTGCCCCTTCACAAACAAAAGTCCCCTGCAGAAACCATGTGCTGCAGTACAGCCTCTTCAGGTGCTGTTTGATCACATCTTACTAATACCCCACTACCACAGCCAATGGAAAGAGGGGCTGCATGTTAACACTAATTATTGTATTTAAACCCTTCAAGTAATACCTATTTAATTCTTAATTAAGAAGCCAGACCACAATTTGGTTTGCAGAATGCCAGCAACAAGGAACTGTTATAGCTGCTTTGTGCTTTAACTGGCTCTCCCAGTCTGAACATACACTTTAAGGAGATTATTTTAGGATGAGATGTTGAAAGCTTTGGGTTTTTTTAACTGGATGTTGGCTCATTGATGCTGCAGGAAAGGACCTTTTCAGAATATTACAATTACATTGTGAAGTATCATTTCTCTCCACTCAGCCTGCAGGTGGGGTTGCTTACAACCCTGCCTGTAAAAGAGCTTGCAAAGGAATTGTTATCTGAAAGCAGCAGCTGCCAGCTCAGTAAATTACTTTATCAGTCACGGTGAGCTGCAGGCAGGGAAAGCACCTTTGGTACCACACACACTTTCTCCCCCAGAAGTGACACTCATGTGAAGCATATAATGGAGGAAGTTAGAAGCTGGTGTTGTAGAGCAACAGCAAGAGTTTCTGTACTGGTTACAGCTGGAAGTGGGCCAGACACAGAGCCAGCAGAAATGGAGGGTATTTTGTGTTTTAACACAACATCTGGTTTGCTGAACCCATCAACAAATCTCTTTAATTTCTCAAAGCCTGAAGGTTCATTTGCATTTCTATTACTTTTGCTCGTGGAATTCTATCAGCTCACCACATAAATGGCTTCTACCCACACTGAAATGCTAACTGCAAATACTCAGATTTTACATACCTGTGAAACTAAGGTGACCCAAACCTACTTAAAGTAGTATGGGAGTTCACGCACAATAAACCATGCTGTCTCCTCTCACCATACCTTCATTTTCTCCCTTCTGTTCTTAGGTCTAGATTTATTCTGTCAGCCACGTGAACAGTCTATATTCTACTTACTCCCTTTTTGCCTTATCTTACCTGACTTCATATACACAGACTCTATATTGTAGGATATCCATATTCAAGAAAGACACATAATACTTATCTATTTCATACAAATATAAGCTTCATTAACATTTCTGAAGCACCTTCAAACATTCAAAAAGGTTATATACAACTAATTTTCATGGTGTCATACCTGACCATGCTGTCAGAAATTAATACATGTATGACTGATAACTTGATGTTTATGCAGGAGGGAACTACAGATGTAGGGGGGTGGATAACAAATACAAAAGTCAGTCTCAACTTGGAGACTTTTGATTCTTCTGCTATTTTAGGACTAAAAGAAAAAAAGCATGATTATATAGATCCATGTCCATGTTCAGCTTCTTATATTAAACTGTATTTTGAACCAGTTTCTGGGAAGATGCCAGCCTGCAGCTCTGTGACCAGCATGCTAATTATAGCAGCAGCATCGAGGTGCATCTCTTTATCCCACACTGATTTAAATGGAACCTTGACAATCCTCCGTGATGGCCACAAGGAGCAGTGGCATAAAACCTTCTGGAATACTCCAGCTGCTGTTTCCCTGCTATAAATGGCTCCAAAAACTGTTGTCAGGAACACTTTTTTTGGTTGAGATGGGAATATCAGCGCAGCTGAAATTGTTCAACATTTTACAGAAGCTGTTGGAGAAGTTGCCAAATTTATGCACTCAATTTCATACAGAGGTGTAAAATAGCCATTTTAGAAATTAAGTTATATAATAAATGATGTATTTAGGCCATTAAAATAACAAGAAAATAATCCCTGAACTCTGCTATTTGATAGATTACTATCTCAGATCTGAAAATGTGACCAAAGCAGATGGGGATGTAAGTCACTACTGCAGGCTGGGTTGGCTGATTGACCTAGCTCCTGTATGAACAAAACAATTACAGCAAGGAGTGGTGTAAGCACTGCTACTCATCCTTAGTAAAGGCCCTGAATGTTTGGGATGTGCTTGAGCTACTGAAATTGCAAGGAAAACCCCAGCTTCCTTAGTTTTCCAATACAGAACACTGTTACCTGATTCTCTGTGGTCAATTCCCATGCCGTTCCTCCTTCTTGTGATATCAATATATAAGATATCCACACAAGCCATTGAAAAATTGCTGTTACTCAGTTTGCAGTTTCTGTTAAAAACAGACAAAACAAAGAAGAAATTCTGATTACATCAAACTTCCAAGCAAGGAAAAATTCTGCAAAGGCAAGTGAGAGAACACTGGGGAGAAAAGTTTACCCATGTCATGTGTACACACTGTAACATGCTTGGTCAAATAAAGCACCTATGAAGCACATGTATCTGAAATAGGCCTGAATTTTTCATGTGCAGAAAATCTCTTGTATGTGCCTTGTCCTGCTGCCTGTTCAGATCACACCAGCACCACCTCTGCCAGAAGTGACCCTGGGCAAGAGAAGTGTCCCCCTTAGAGACATGCACCTAAATCCAGTTTCCATGTGCAATCTCATGTCAGTCTCTAGCCACAGAAAGGCAGCAGGTCACATTATAGATTATCTGGTTTATTTGGGTTTTGCAACAAAGCAGGAAAAAAGACAAAACCCTGGATATTTCAATTAAAAATAGGACTTAACTGTTACACACTCCTTTCTCCCACCTATTGCCAGCACTCTTTCTGAGGCCATAACAGACTGGAATTCATTGGTACACTGCAAAACCCAACAGAAATCAGCACAGACTGTCAACGTCAGGCAGTTTGCACAGAAAAATGCTCTCTTATTTGACTGATCCTGGTTGAAAAAGGCTGGAGGAAAGCTTTCAAGCACAGAATTACTTCTTCATGCCTGAACACTGAGCAGATTTGCCCTATGCGTTCCTGAAGGCTGCATGGAAAACAGCAGCATCTCTGGATGTATCTCGGGCATTCAGTGATAAGCACATGCAGGAGATCTGACACTTGTGTGGTCTGAGCCTGCAGTGGTGTTGATCAGTCTCTGAGCATTAGCCATCTGTCCAGGATTTCCAGATGTCTGGCAGCCTGGCTGGAACAAGAACACATGCCAAAGAGTGGGCCAAAATTTCTAGCCAGGAAAGAGAAAAACCCAACAACAAAAACCCCACACACATACCCCAAAAACCCTAAAAATCCCCCCAAAACCTCGATAATATAAAAGAATCTTACTCTTTAATAGCATAAGCAGAGCTCTCTTAAAGTTAAGGTCTGGCCTAGAGAGTCCCAAAGAAATCTCAGGCAGAACCCAAGCAAGGACTGGAGTCACGATCAGTGCTTTTCTTTGAGCTACTTTTTATAATGAAGACATTATTGAAGGGGAACAGATTGTGATTAGCTAAAATGTGAGTGGATAGTCTCTGCAACCACTTGCCCACACCCCCAAAATCACACTTGTGTGCCACTTGCTTCTTGCAAAGCGATACAAAACACATCTTAGAATCATGACCTTATTTCTGAAATGAGCAGTAACATCAGTATTCAGAGAAGGGCCAAACAGTTGCTATAGATCCCCTGGGAAAAATAAACAACGTATTTGCCAATATTAAAAGGTTTCATTTAACATGCATTAAGAAGCTGCAAACACTATTGCATTGAGATATGGCAATTTATTTTCACATTCTTAAAATGTTGGCATTTATTCTGTGTTCCTCTTACAAGTGCCAAATTAAGGCTGGACTAAACAATAGAAAATACAGAATTGGAAACAATCCTGTACTGGTCTATGGAAAGAGCAGATGCCTTCAGTCATTTTCTATATATCATAATTTGTATAAATCAAATTGTTTATATTCATTCCTGAATGCTAAATGCATCTGCATAGAAACAGGATCCGTATTTTAAGGGTACATCTGCTGCTGCTGCTTATTTCTTTTGTCGCTGTCAGTGAAAGACAGAAAATGAGATATTTTTACCATGACTAGAACAGATCTATCCATAAAAAACAATGAAAAGAAAACCCTCACAAAAAAAAAAATGTGGAAAAAAATAAATTGAGTTCCTTGCCATTGCAAGTTGCAATTTCACAATGCAAATCCTTAGCGCACAATGCAGCAGCAACTGGCATTTGGAAAGGCTTTTGGGTGGCCTGGGGCAGATGGCTGTGCCCCACAGCCAACAGAACCAGATGAAGTGACCCAGTTTCGGTTGTCACTTTCTCACACTGGTATCTCTACAATTTACTAGAACATGACATGTTAACAAAGATTGCAAATAGTTATCTCCCAGTGTATCACTGAGCTGCTGTAGAATAAAGACCCAGGTTCCAGGCTTCATAGGTCACGTATTTTGGGAGCTTGGAATGATAAAGATTTATCTATTTTCTAAAAAAATTGCAGTGATTCAGTGGAACTTGTGGGGAAAAGTTTCTTTGGAAAGCATTACTCAACCTACAACTAAAAATGTACTACTGTTAGGGCCTGCTTTTATTCAGCAGAACCGATGGTAAGCCCAGGGATAGCAGTGCTACTCCACAGGACCTGTTTGTAACTTCTTGACTACACATTAAGCAATTCCTAAAGCAACCTTCACCTTACTGACCTTATGAATGTCCGGAAACCTGTTGGCCCCAACTTTGTTGTCCCTTTCACACCAAGAAATCGGATAAACAACGCAGCCACTCTGTCCACAAGCCGTAGGTAGTTAAACTGCTTGGCGTACTTGGGAAACACTTGCTTGAGACAGAGGGAGGGGAGCTCAGGCTCCAGAGTTCTGGTGGTCTCATGTTCCGGGCCGTCTGCTGGTCCTATGTCCAACAGGTCTTCGTTGGCTTCTGACACGTGCTCTGAAGTCTGACACCTGCAGCACGTAAAATAATTGTATCTTATGTTAACCTTATTCTTAAGAGATCCGATATTCTTTCTAAGCATAAAACAGTATGAGATCTTTACAATCATGAAAAATCAAGAACAAATATTAAGGTTCCCTAAGGCAGAAATCATGTTTTAAGAGTTCAAGGGATAAGGCAACCATTCCCTGATTGCAACAACAGAGTAACCCTGTGTGGTTCCCTCTATACAGACCCTTGGCTATTGCGTCCTAGGAAGAGGTCATCAGTTTCCTACACAGGTATTAAACTGCAACACATTCTAGTGGTGTGCCTTTTGGGCAATGCCCCAGCTGGAGAAACAGATGGAAAACATCTCCAGGGTTCAGAAACTCAGAAGGATGGCCATCAACTCAGCTACCAGATTATATACGTGAGTATTTTTTAGAAGATGGGTGATTTTAGAACCTTAAATTATGGCAATTTAAGAAATTACATTTGATGTGACTATTCAGTCCTTCCTGAAAATCATATTCCTTCCATTTATTTAATCTAAAACATTCCAAAACTGAAACACTAGTAACAAGATATGCCTGTATGATTTCCTTACAATTCCCTTTCCTACAGAAACATTTATAGTGCATTCACTGATAAAGACATTTTAGTTTAGCAACAAAAAGCCTGCACGGACATCAGGTTGCACTGCTCCTTTCTGCATCCCTGATCTGGAACAGTGTTTTTCTCTCATCATCTTTTTTTTTTTGAGTTCTCAACAAAAATCAGGCCCCACCAGGTTGTTTTTATCTAAAAGAGCAGGAGACTGGTTTTAGTCCACAGAGTTAAACATTAGGAGTTACATGTTTCACTCCCCCCATAACTTATTGTTCTCCTCAATGCAGATCCCTTGTGATGCTGCAGAATATCCATATTCCTTTCAAAAGGTCTTTACAACCTCATGGAAGGTAACAGGCTGAATTCTTCCCCACAGACAAGGAACCACCAATCTGCAGTTCCTGTCAGCATCAAACAAACTTAGGTATGTAGAAAAAGAGGAGTTTCATGGAATTGCATGGAACATTTAATGGGAAATGTTTAGAGGTTGTAATAATCTAAGACTAAACTTATTTCCCACTGATGATTAGAAGCCTTTACCTTCTCTGATAAATACAGTACAAAAAGAGCTCAGTAAGATATATTTGCAGAGAATAAATTGTAACGATACATTCAGAAGCAATACTGTTCATATAAATGCAGACTGGCACTATTCAGGAGACAATTTCTAGGCAATCCCATTATTTTGTCTTCAAATCCTCTGTGCATCCTGTCAAAATACATTATTTCATCTTCATTGTTGTTGCCAAATTCCCTAAATAAAGCTGATCGAGATAATGGTGTTCCAAAATAGATGTTACATGTTTATTCAGCATGACATAGTTTTACTTCTTTGTCTGTGACATACGCAGATAAAATTAAAGATTGCTCTTCTCCCAAGTTCAGGAAGTCTGAGAGCTGACAGTAATTATCTGGCACACACATAAGCATATGCAGGTTTTCATTTGCTTTCCAGTCATTTTTCTAAGTACCCATCATGGAGAATAAGTATAATTCACACTAGGTAGTAAAAAAATTAGTGCTTTTACTCCATTGATCTTTTGCGCTCCTGAGCAGATTTAGTGTCCTTCAGAAAGTTCTGTTCCAGCAGGGGATAACAATCAACATGGTTATTATCCACCCACAGCACCTGAGAAGTTATCAAGTCAAATCTCCAGTAAATCTGTACCTTTCACTTTGGTTGCAAAGGCAGCAGATTTCCTTAGCCCTCTTGCAGCCAGCCTGTAGTCACCCATCCAAAACCAATATCCCCATGGATTTGTAGACTTTCTTTTCCACTAAATTTCCCTGAAAGACATTAATCCATTGCCATGCTGCGTCCCCTTTAGTATGGAATACTTCAAAGTTATACCTTGAACTTCTAGTGAGAGGTATGTTGAAAACAAATGTATGGCAAGTGCAAGACAAAGCAAAAAAGAAGTGAGAATTGCAAGGAAAGCAATAAAGTTTTAATTAGTATGAACTAAACTGTGATGTCTGATTTCTAAAAGACATTTTTGGACCCAAGTTTTAAACCCTGCTTAAACCTGGGCTCTGAACTCATTCACACCTCCACATGTCACCTTCAAATGGCAGGGGATCACCATTCACTGCAGCAACTCCCAAATGTGACCACACACAAGACCACTTGACACAGACCTGAGGTTGGAAACATTTCCCTGCACCAAATGACAGCTCCAAGCTTATTTAGATGCTGAATGTTAGCAGCCATTGGAACAGCTCTTTGTAAAAAGCATCCACACTTATGCTCAGTGGTGTTGAATATCTATAAATGCAATCACTTTTGAGCTAAAAGGCTCTAAAAAGTCTTTAAAGAATAAATGCAGATCTTGAGTAGTGCTGTGATAATGTTCCTCTTTGCTGCAGATAGCAAGGAAAAGAATGTTATTTCTTTCACTAGTTAAGTAAAGCTTAAAGCAATACATTATTAGTTCTGGGGGTTTCTCATGTAAGATTGGATGGCGTTTCACTGCTGTCAAGTACCCTCTGGCTACCAAAATTGAGACTACATAAAGCCAAGAAACAATAAGTATGCAGGCTTCTATTTTTAATCTCAAAAGGTCTGTTTCTTAATTTAAAAATTCAAATCTTCAGCCAGTTGAACTAGACCCTGACCAAATGTGAAACCTTGTACTCAGGAGGAGAGGAGGTTGTGTTCTTTGTAATGTAACTCTCATTTTAATGACGCCTGGAAGCCCCAAGCCCTTTCTCATTCTAAATTCCAGAGTGTTTTGGATTGTACATTATTCATTCATCGTTAATGTTTTCAGTTTAATAAAATACAAAGCTTTGCTTTAAAAGGTGCAAGTAGAGCTGAGGAAATTTCACCACATTTCATTTCTTACAGAAAATGCTGAAGAGACTCCTAAAGGGATCAGCTTCAGATAAATTAATTATAGCCCCAGTGCTCTTTGGTGCGGGTGCTGCCCGAGGCACAAGGCTGGAGTGTTGACTTTGGGGATCAGCATCTCTCACCACAGTCTTCATCTGCAAATCTGTCCTTCCTCCACAGATCCATACCTCTTTCATGGAATGGTTTGTGTTGGAAGGGACCTTAAAGCTCATCCAGCTCCAGCCCCTGCCATGGGCAGGGACACCTTCCACTAGTGCAGGGTGCTCCAAGCCCTGTGTCCAACCTGGCCTTGAGCACTGCCAGGGATGGGGCAGCCACAGCTTCTCTGGGCACCCTGTGCCAGTGCCTCAGCACCCTCCTGAGGAAGTGCAATCAACAGTTTAAACAAAGGGAGCTTCAGCCTTTCATTTTTCAACCCACCCTCAAAAGAAATGTGAAATGGCCATGAAGAGAACACCCAAACCATTAACAAGTACTCTGGACACATTAGTGATGGGAGCCACAAAAGCCTCTTGTCTCCCTGACTGAATGGACACAATTCCAAATGGACACAATGGACACAAGTCAAATTATTAAGCAGGACTGGGTATGTATAAGGATAAGAGAAAATTGTGTTTGTAGAAAAAAAAAACATGTATTATGGTGAAAGAAAAATTATTGTTGAATGTAAGAAAGCAGAGGCTCTAAATTCTCACCGAGAACTTCCTTTTTCCCTTTGTATGGAGAAAAGTCTACAGCTGCCTTTAAGGTCACAGATAAAAACTCAAAACCAGCATCCCATTTCAAGCTTTTACTGAAATAGCTTTTAAAAACATGTTTCTTATTAGAAAGGTGTTTTAAAAATAAAACCATGCACGCTACTGCAAGCCTCATTCCTTTCCACTCATATACTGGGAAAGTCTGTAAAATATTTAAATCAGAACAAGAAAAATGTGATTCAATCTGTATTGCCAAATCTTGTACTTCCATTAAGTAAAAAAAGAGAATGTACTCTTTAATCTGCTTTTGTAGGTTATTGCTTTTACCAAGTTCAATGGTTTGTTTTCATTCTTTAGCCTAGCCCCTACCCTCAAGAATTCCTGAAGTTTAATTTCCTAAAGCACATATAATTTAATCATGATCTGGATTAAAGTGAAAACTACCGTCTGCCATTTTAAGAGAACTACCTCCTTCCAAAGCAAACCTACACAAGAGCTTGTTCCTATCTGTAAAGCGAATTGATAGACTTGCCTATTCTGCAGACTCACCTTAACTGCAAGCACTTACACTGACTATACTCCGACTGTAATTCTCCACTGCTACCAGAGACACTACTTCAATAAAAGTTTATTTCCTGTAGATCTATGGGCACACATGTATGCACCAAATCTCTATGTGGTCTCAACACGACTCATTAAGGAATGCTGCTTAGCTCAGGGATATTACAGCCAGACTCAGAATCTATAAAACCAGGATTTGACTGTGAGCTGCACATTTTTGCAAGGGAACAGTGCACATCCTATTTTTTGCCCTAGTGCTGGCTGAATTATGCTCACTTGCAATGCACCATTACATTTTCTGCTGTGTTTCACTGCCATCTGCCATCGCCACACCATAAGGGTGAAGCGGATGACAACTCCCCAAGGGTCATGCAGTCCAAGGCCACTATGAGCACTGGCAGTACAGCTATGAGAAGCAGAAATATAGCTCAAGGTCCAGCAACAACGAAAAAGCAAGGGGGATTTTCACCTCCCTTTCTACCATTAACTCACTGGAATATAGAAAAAGAGAAGTTCACCTTTTTGTAATGTTACCTGTCAGATTCAGAGCTGCTGAAACCTCCTATGCATATTTACCATCCAGTTCCTACTCACTCCAGAAAGTGACTTCCAACGCACATCTTATTTACTGTCTTAGTCAAGGTTTCACCTTGAGAGTTTGGGTACAACACCCAGGGCTCTCCCTGAACACCTTGCAAAATGTCTATGGACAGTGCAGCTGTGGGGAAGGGATCAGAAAATCCAAACCTCCAGCAAGAGACTCTTGCACTGGTCCCCTCCATTACCTCCTCTCTCAGGGGATTCCCTACAGGCACAGGCAGGAGAAGCAAGCTGAGCCCCACACTTCAGAGCTGCTCCTTAGAATTAATTGTTTTGACTGACACAGCTGAGTCAGGCTAAATGAATGAAAGGTCAAACATAAGGTAATGCTTCTGTTGCTGTACAGAATAAAAGCAAAGCTTCATTTACATACTAATGTCTGACCCCGATACATTAATTTCTCTCATTCTGCAGCTCATGACAGATCTCTCTTTAGAAATTATCAACTGTGGAGAAAATATTAACTGCATCTTTAAAAAAGAATTTAAATTTTAATAAAGCTTATGGAAATGACATCTAAGACTACTTATCTTTTATACATGATTACTAATTTATTAATGTTTCCTCCATCTATGGTTTATCCCTTTCATTCTGACCAGCCTTAATCTTTATGCAAATACAAGTTGCTGAGGGACAAACAAATCTGCAACTACTAATTAAAGGCTTCAGAATACACAGCATTTTGTCTACCTGTATATAAAAGTTACCTGCCAAGTTCAGAGTAGAATTGGGTAAGAATTGCAATATTCATATTTTTAGGAAAGCTCACGTGGTACAATCTAGGGCATTGCTAGAAGTATAAATTAAGCAATTGTGGTATCAGCTGACAACTGCTTACCTAATAAAAGAAAATATTATGTTCTGGGTTCTGAAGCTATAATTATTCCCTCAGCTGAGCCTCTATTCTCAAAGCAAGAACTATGTTAACATAGTTAAAAACAGAGAATAATTTGCATGACAAATCTATCTATCCACCCATTTATCACCACAGTTTACAGACCTCCCAAGAAACAGGTATGTCTTTGTTACTGGGGTGTGGAGGTATGAAATATGTTTGTGTGCTCAGTCATGGAAATAAATCATTTAGGAAGCTAAGTCAAAGCCAGAGCAGTGGCTCTGCATTATCAACCATTCATGAATTTTCTCTTACGAACTAATCCCATTGCTTTTATTAATGCACAGAGACTTCCAGCCCTCACAGTACGTGACAACAAGAAGTGCCATAGTTTAACAGCGTCTTGTGTGAATAACCAGCATCTTTTGTTTTGTCCTGGCCACTTGTGAGTTTCATTAAAGAAACAGAATATTCATCTCCTCTTCACCCTCTGGCAAAGTAAAAACCATCAACAGGCATTTCCTCCTTTCAAAATAATAATGAAGTCACGCAAAGATAAAAGTATTAAAGGAAGATTAGACCCCAGAGACTAAGGAGATTTTGGAAGTTAGGTTAGAAGCATTATTGCTCTTCCACATAGTTTATTCAACATTTGGAGAATGCTCTTAGGTAGTCAAAGCAACCACAGTAGAGTCCATATTTCAAAGAGCAGGATCCATCGCATTAGAAATAAGGACTGATAATCACCATGTTGTTGGCAACCATCATACAAAACAGCTTGAAAACACAGCAGCTGCCCTGTCTCCTGGAAGCAGTTAGAATTTCCATCTCTCTCCAAGAAAAAAGAATCCATATCTCAAGTAATTAAATCACATCACTTAGATTTTAACCTTACTGTGAGCATGACCATGCCTAACTTTGCATGCACTTTCAAGGCTTAACGTTGCACTCTAGAAGGGTGAAAGAAATGGAGCCCATTAAGGTTGTCTGTGAGCTGGCAAACACACTTTAGGTGACTCTGAGGACAAATTAAGAAGGTACTCCATCGCCTTGCCATTTGCTTAACAAAAGCAAAATAATTTATCAGATTCCTGAAGAAGTTAAATCCAAGCCCCTGCAGCCTGTCATCTACAATCCCAGCAGCTCTCATGCCCAGCCATCTGCTCATTGCAGCCTTTCCATTTGCCATCCCAGGAGTATTATTTGTTTACTGCATATCATACTCTAAGCTCCACAGACATCAGTCCTCTTTCAGAGAAGGATGGTTCACTGCTTCTTCAGAGTGGGTGGGTTTCTTATAAAAATAAACACTTCTCATGAAAGATTAAATAGCTTTTGAAAGAAAACAGAAGGCTGTGCAAGTCTGACACCTTAACACATCGCTAATGAATGTTTGCAAGATGTTGAAACGTTGTGTGGATCCTCACTTGCTCCACACCAGGGACACGAAGTGATGGATGAGAATACTTCTGAAGTTTTCAGATCATATGCAGAGGAGACTAGAGCCACCCTTCAAACTCAGAACCTTAGACAAGCTCATGTGCTGTCCTACACATTTTGCTTGGGAAGAAATGAAATTTGTATGAGGTAATGTCCAACAGCCACACAAGCAATGACACTTACTGCAGTTATCAACAAGTACTATTCAAAGACTAACACCTCCCTTTAAAAGGAGTGGTACAGAGCTTTCCTGGCTGAATCATCATGGATCGGAGTTTCTAGAAGCGCTTAGGTTTTCAACAAATCAGAAGTCAGAAAGGCCATGTTAATTCCCTTGTATTTTAAACTAAAGCTCAATCCAATAAACCATTTCAAACCTCATAACGAAAACTGAAAGTGCTCAACAGTGATACTGTGATTAAATAGTTTCATTAAACTCCTGCCTTACTAGGTGATGACTGGAATCAGTGCAGCAGCACACCACAGAGAGAAGGGACATCCTTTAGAGATACAAAGCAGATACTGCACACGTGGGATGAACATCCAACTGCATGTAACAGTTGCACTTGAGCTCTGGTTTTATTTCTATAGAGCTCCCTAATACATAGTTTAAATCACTGAAGAAATGCATTTGAGGAATCTCAGATGCAAAGTGCTGAAAAAAAGTTATTTCCTAGTTATTAATTGAGATTCTTTATTTCCAACTTTCTAAGAATAATGGTAATATCAGTCTGCATCAGCTAAAGATTTATTACTTTCAATGTAACAGAAGCAGTGAATGCTCATGCTATTACCTGTCATCTAGTCTGAGTGCTGCAGAAATACAGCATTACTACAATGAAATAATGGATAAGCAAGGCAAAACCTGCATCGAAAGACTGTTCCACTGTAGCAAAGAATTACCATAAAACAAAAATCTTTATGTATTGTCCCCAATACTTTACTTTTTGTGGAGGTAGCTTTTATTATTCCTAGTAGATTTATTTGTGTTCACTATTTGCTTTTAAGGTACTTATGTGCCTCATTATTCCTCCAGAGTTTCCTTTGTTTCTTTAGAAAAGTGTGCCCTAAAAATAGTAATAGAGGATACTGCCAAGGCAAACCAGTTGTAAAGCCTGATGATGTATTGAAACAAACTTTAGACCACCAAGTGCCTTACAGCAGAAGAGAAAAAAACCTGAATCCCATGGAATTTCTTCCCCTGTGGAAATGATTCTTAGAAAGCAGTCGTGATTATGGTAGGATAGAAAAGGAGCTTTACCCTGTCATCCAACAGACTAGGAAGCAGCAGTGCAATTGCTTTCTATCAGCAGTAATCCTCCTATTAAAGCAGGTGAATTCCACACACACAAAATAACACTACTGGTGATTATGCTCCTGTTAAGTCATGTGGCTTTATGCTTTCCTTCTGTGGCAACTGGGTGCTAGGCAGTTTTAAGGCTCTCATTTTTCAGAGACTAGAGACCAATTATTACTTAAAAATAAGCCAATCATCTCTCCTGCTAAAAGATGACTGGCAGCAGAAGTTAAATTATAGAGAACATCACTGCCCCCAATACATTCATTTCTGTCACTCTGTCACTGTAAGAATTTACAGCAGATAATCTCTTTGAAGGGGGATCAAGTCATAGAAAGTACAAGCCTAGTTTTAAATAGAACTTTAATTTTAATGAAAGCTTCAGGGAATGATGTTTATGCTGCTTATCTTTCATACCTGGTGATTAAGTTAATTTATACTTAATGGAAGAGGATATTTCTAATCCCCAGACAGGCTCAACATCTGTCTGTGACTATGTTTTTGGAAGCCTTAAGCTGCTTGTGATTGATGTAATAAAACCAGGATCCTGCAGAACTAACACCTGAAGGATATCTGTAAGAGGGGAAATGTTGTTTTTTTTTCCTGCTCAATGCCTGTGCTTAACTCAAACCAGAATTCCAAGCCCTTCATTTTGCTGTCCCTTTAAAACATGCTTTGCACTCCCTTGCCAATAGTATGTGAGTACAAACAGGGGAATAAGCAAACAGTTCTCAGACATGGTTATGATCTAATATTCATACTCATTATGTGCAGTATCTGACAACACAGAACTTTCTGACGGCCTGAAGCTAATGAGAATAATAAAGCTCCTGCAAAAAAACAGAGCAATGATCTCCATTTTCCCTTCATTTCTCATTCATTTCCATTTAGGACCAAATGTTACCAAAATAAATGCCTGCATTTACCCTATAGTTACAGCAGGGAAAAAAAGTCTTGAAGAGTAAACATCTTGCCAGGAAAAGAGATCATTGTCAACCCTATGCCGACAAATCACAGTATTTCTGTACGAGGCAAGAAAACACACAGCAAAAAATGGCATTTCCAGCTGCTATGTATATCCATGTTATTTTAAGGGCATACTCTTCCAGGGAGGAAAGCAGCTACCAGAGATTATTACAAAGCAGTCCAGGAATACTATCACACACTGGAAAAATCCACAGAAGTTCCAAGCAACGCAGAATGGAGGGAGGAAAACCTAGAATGTGAACAGAAGTCAAGTGGCAAAAGAAAAACAAAAGTGCTTCATCTAAAACTGTTTCTGAAAAGGGGTAAGTCTCCCTAGAACAACTTGCATTTACACATTAACCAATAATATCGGAAACATGTTAAAGCAGTGCAGTAATATTTAAACTCCAATACTGTATCAAGCATCTTGTAAGAATGTCTGACACGCATCATTATTATTTCCTCAGGCCTAAAACCCCCTTGTTATATTAAAAATACCCTCAAAAACCTTATTAATGCTCTATCTTTACATTAAATTGTGAGTATAAATTATAGATGTTTCTCTGCAGTAAAGCAGCAGAACACTTTGAGCACGAGCAGCACAAGCTGGACCCATTCCATGGCTCTGGTCTCTGACATACTTGTTCCGCAGCCGTTGACTGGGTCCATCCTGGCACAGGTCACTGCCCTGATGGCCGGGGAACAGGCAGCACAGACAGTTGCTCAGGCAAGGCAAGGCTCCAGATCTAGAACAGCGAACACACATGTAATGTAGCACCACACTGACTCACGTACAAAGAATGGAACAGCGAATGCCCTTAAACACAGAATCACAAGAAATCACAGTGAAGTTCACTTTCACAAATTAGGAACACGCATTTAAACTCTGGCACTTTCATCTAAGGAACAAGTCCAGTTAAGTGTCCATGTGGAAAAGTTAATAGGAAATTCTTGCATTTCCCTAGTCTATCTGGTTTTATCTTAAGAAATCTATTGTATTCATGTATCTCTGTCTTCGACTGCTGTGGTCCCTTAGGTTGATTTTGCTTCTCCCTCCTCCTGGTTCCCTTCTAAGGATTGTCACACAACTTACATGTATAGGACATACTTGTTAAGGAATTATCAAGCCTCTAATCCTTCTTGCTTTGGTATTTTCTTGAGAAGGTATTTTCTCCTACATCACATTTTGATATCCCACCTCAGGGTTTATTTGAGTAAAGAAAAATCTAGGGAGTCTTCATTTTACTCCAAAGGATGAAAAAGAATTGAGATCTCAGCAATTTCAGTTGCACACAAAAATCAGCAAAAGCAAATCTGTAATGTAATGAAAAGGATCTTTTCTGTCTCCCTCCACGTATCTTAACAGCTTTACTCAAAGCCTTCTAGAAATAAGAGGGCTTTTTCAAATCAGAAGAAATTCAATTAATCTCAGAATTGAGCTGCCTTTTTTCAGCATTCTCCTCAAACCATATATCCAAGCCAGTGAAACCTGCAGGCTGAGACACACGTTGCAGTCAATGAAAGGTACCATTAGTTACTTCAGCCTGCCATAAGAAAAGAATGGATTGTGTTTCGTTCAAACTAACTGTTCCAAACTTGGGCTTTCATGTTCCAGTGCAGCGAATTAATGGTTTGCATCAAATGGAAATACAGAAATGAACAGTGTTATTTCTTATAATGACATGGGGTAATTATATCATTCAATCTGCTCTGTAACTCACAGCTGTACCAACACTGACAACTATTTGCTCCAAGTTCTCCCATTCTGAACCCTGACATCTCAATACATTGCAAAAACATAACTCTTAGAAGGCATTTGCATGTATGAATTTTCCACTGGTGTTAAGGGATATAATCCATGCATTAGCATTCATTTATTCCATTTTACTGTTACCTTAATAAAACACTGTTATGTGGCCCAGGAGCCCCACTCCACAGGAATTTGTTTCTTCTATTAGGAAGGTGATGTACTTTAGTATGCCCTTGGCTGATCGATTCGTTATAACATCTTCCTGCTTACATAAAATCTTAGTTTTTTAAAATCAATTTGTTCGTGGGTTGTGCCATCCCTGAGAGAACATAAAGCACACACTGCAGCTCAGCAGCTACATGAGGAACTTACAGATATTAACTGGAAACCAAGACAAAGTATTCAAGGCTCACCCCACAGATTTCACGCTGTCAAAGCTATCACAGTTGGTCGTAGTTTTAGGTACACGTAAGGTACAGATTGTAAAGATGGCAAGGAGACAGGTAAGACATGAGACATTTTTATACTAGGTACAAATACACACATAGGCATGCTGCATACACAGACATATATACAAATATGCATTAGGCATACTACCATTTATCTTTATATTAAATACCTGCACACATATTCTATGAAAACTATCTGCTGGGAAGCAATTTAGTATCAGGAGGATTACAGAAAACTGGAAGTTCCTGAAGTTCACATTGTAAACCAACTGGAAAAATTAATTTAAAAGTGGAGTTGCATGGAGCTCTTGGAGCGAGTCCAGAGGAAGCCACGGGGATGCTGCGAGGGCTGAAGCAGCTCTGCTCTGGAGCCAGCCCGAGAGAGCTGGGCTGGTTCAGCCTGGAGAAGAGAAGGGTCCTTAAGAGGAGGCCTCAGAGCAGCTCCAGTGCCTAAAGGGGCTACAGGAAACCTGGAGAGGGGCTTTGGACAAGGGCCTGTAGGACAGGACAGAGGGGAATGGCTTTAACCTGCCAGAGGGGAGACTGAGATGAGCTCTTAGGAAGTTCTTCCTTGTGAAGGTGGTGCTACTACTCCTGCAGTAAGTCAAGATATCACCCGAAAGACTAGATTATGTTAGCAAGCTACAGGGTGAGCAGAGGTGAAGATTATTTTGCTGATAGCAGAAACTCAGCTCTAATGATTAGCATATTGAAGTGTCAGGCAAAAAACAATTTGCACTCCAGCCTAACTACTAATCACCTTCCCTGTATGAACATGCAAATTCAGTGAACCCACTTGGACAGAGAAGGCTCACACATATGCTGCCCCTGCCCTATACTTTAAGACAGAGAGAAAAAAGGCATCTTTAACTTCAAATCACAAGAGCTTTCCTGTACTGAAAACAAAGGAGGAAATTATAGCACATGCAAATAAAGCAGATAAGAGTACTATCTCTTAAGAATGTACTTTAAAAACAACTAAGCAGTTTTCTCAACAAAGGAGACAACTGCTCATTTCCCTCCTCCTCTTTGCACTAGACAGGCTGAGATTAATGCAGTCAAGCAGAGGAAGAGGGGAGATGGCATTTGTAGAATGTGTACAGAAAACAGAATAAACTTCTTTCCCTATATGAGGAACAAATTAGGTTTCAATCAAAACGATTTTATAAGAAGAAAGTTGCTTCCTTACGTAGAGTATTGCTGGACAGCCTGGTTTCCAGTTAGACAGCACATTACACCATGTCCTCCTCTGCCCTGTACTCTCTTCAGTGGATTCACTAGGCACAAATACATTTGTTTAGCTTTTACTACACAGCAGGTTTTCAGCTCAAGAGTTAGTTCAGATTAACACCCTTTGACAACATGTACTGCACTTGCAGAGCTGGATGGATGCCTGGATTACTGAGGCAGAGAAGCCCAAAACAACCTGAGACAAGTACTGAAAATTAGCTGGAAATTAAGCCCTTGTCCAACACAAAAACACAAACCTTTTTCAGGCTGAAGAGATGTCAGCCTTAAAAAGTACATACAAGAAGCCCTGAATAGTGGAAATAACATCTAAGAACATCAAGGACTTTTCTACCATATCATTTTTGCAAGCCAGTTTACCTGTGAGGTAAAAAGAAAAGGTGAATGGCCGTAACAACTACAGTAATTTCATCTTCTCTTAAGTATTTTATGAATAAGGTGAAAATTGCTATTTGTTTTATATCCTATCCAACGTAACTTGAGCAAGTTTCTGACCGGGCTTAATGTGAGTTTTCACTGGTCTCAGCTGAAGCTTGCCATCAGCAATGGCTGGATACAGCCAGCATCTGCAGGCAGCAAATCTCCCAGGGATGCTTTGAAGTATTCCTGAGTTCATGTGTAAAGAAAAACAAAACCAAACCAACACAACACAAAAGGAGCTTACTCAGAATTCAGTCAAAGGAGGAGCACACACCGAAGGAGCTCCAACATTTATGCTTCAGATACAGAAGGAGGCTTGATCAGCTGCCACTGCCGCAAAGCCTTTGTATTGCAGCTCGGTGAAGCCTCTCGCCCCAGTCATTGCTGCTGGCTACGAGGGATGCAAAATACAGCATGCCTTACAGCAGACTCTGTTACCAGTCAGACTCACTTACAATCTCTATTAAATAACTGAATTCAAAGATGTATTTAGACTCACTGCCTGCACATTCATTTTTATGCCATTTGGAAGGAGACTAAGCAGCCACCCCACTTTATTCCTGACCTCCCTTCTCCTAGAGCAAACCTTGAAGATTACAGCAACTTTTGTGGCTGCACTACAAAGACTTGAGGAAACGGACGTATTCTGATAAAACCTTCCTTGTTGCTGGACTTTATCACAAAGGTTTTCATTTAATAATCCTAAGAAGAAAAAAAAAAAACCAGCAAGACTTCTTAATGATCAACACAGGTATTCACATAGTATTACATTCTAAGAGATGAAATTGCTACCGCACGCTTTTATATATTAGGATGTTTGGAAAGTTCAGATTTTATGGAAACACTCTTGACAGGTCACATTCCTCAGTTTATTTCCAATCCTTCCTCTATTGCTGACTAGAATTCGTAAAGAGCAGAAAGAAAGAGATGCCAATAGAAGTGTAATTAGATCAACTGCATCTCAAAACATGGCAATTCAAGCCTAATTGGACAAACTAGTCTCCTTTGGCAATGTGGTAACATAACACCAGTTACTGCAGAAGCAACGGCTGCTTTGGACCAATTCATTTCACAGGGCTGAAAATGAAACCTTTAAAAATTATTCAGCCCATATCAATTAACACTTTTAAATAACCTGGTCCTGTCATCAACTTGCTTGCGGAGTACATTGTAAGCACTTCCAGCTGTCCCTTCATATGGGTCATTTCAAGAGATGCAAAATAAGACTGAATTCACTCTTTATGTGGAAGTTAAAATACAGTCTTTACATTCAAAATGTTGGTGCTTGGAATACAATACACGAGCAAACACAGACCATCCTGCAGAACTGGACTGTGAGTAACAAAAGGGGGTAACTGTACATTAATCTGCTGTTGAGCATGGAGTCACTTAGTGCCATGTTTGTGTGCATCCCAATGTTATCCCGTGAGTTCTCCATTTTATTAGCAAAGGACTGTAAAAATGAGATGAAAATAACACCAAAGAATGACACTACGAAAAATCACTTTTAAAATCCTAACATCCCAAATATTTAAAGAGCACACCATGCACCGTATGTATCCCATGTTGTACAGGAAATGCAATGGCTCTACACACTGTATGGGAGAAGGCAAAAGATAAAGAGCTCAACAATGACAATCAGGTTGGCAAAAGGTGAAGAGTGCTTTGCAAACCTTAGCAATCACCAGGAATATTTACTGAAGAACACAGAATCAGACCTAGAGTCTTCCAGAGAAGAAAACTGAAGCTTTTCTGTAGTATTTTTATACATCAACAATACATAAACTGACCCCATACACTACTAACAGGCCATACCCTGAATGCTATTAGCTTAGAAAGACTGGCAGTGCATGGGAGAAGAAAGACATCATCCTCTTTT